GGAACAGGGTCACCGGCACAGTGATAGCAGGAAGGCTCTGGGGATGGAGAAATTGGATCTTCCCAGGCAGCAGACCAGAGAGCTGGGGTAGACAGAGACCACCCCTATCCCCAGACTGAAGGTCCCAGGAAATGGAGCAGCAGGGGGTCCAGGAGTATGAGGAAAAAAGAGTGGGTGCTGTGGCTTCTCAGGGCTGAGGGTCAGGAATATAGGATCCCTTGTGGGAGAATAGAGGCTAGGCAGGAACATTTAGAAGTCACTAGGGAAAGGGCTACTGCTACAGCTCAGTTGGTAGGATCTTTGCCTAACAAAGACATAACTCAGAAGATAGATGATAGAGACTAGAATTTAGAATCTCAAGGTCATTCTTGGCTATAACAGCAAGTTCAAGGCCAGTCTGAGATACATGTGAATCTGTCTTTTAAAGGGAGGAAGGTAGGGCAGGGGGGAATGTGTGTCCCTAGGGATTGGTGTCACTAAGATGGGCAGGATACCTGGAGACAGAGCTGGGACTCTGAGTTCACATAAACCTTTTCCTCCTCCCCAAATCCTTCAACAGAAAGACCAGCAAGAGGTGATCCAGGAGTTCAGGGATGGTATTCTAAACCTGCTAGTGGCCACAAGTGTGGCAGAGGAGGGGCTGGATATTGCCCAGTGCAATGTGGTGGTGCGCTATGGGCTCCTGACCAATGAGATCTCCATGGTGCAGGTACTCTAACACCCTCCTCCCCACCACAACAGCCCTGGAAGGATCCCATGGGGACCTGCAGCCTGCTTCTGCTTCACTTTCTTCCCAGGCCAGGGGCCGTGCTCGAGCTGGTCAGAGTGTGTACTCCTTTGTGGCAACAGAGGGCAGCCGGGAGCTGCGGCGGGAGCTGACCAATGAGGCTCTGGAGGTGCTGATGGAGCAGGCAGTGAATACAGTACAGAAGATGGATCCCACAGAGTTCAAGGCCAAGGTCAGCAGGCAGTCTGCTGCAGCCTGTGAGAGCCTGAGGCTCTGACTGCATCCACACACTTTTGGGGTCTCCTCCTGGCTCACCCTGGGAACTTTTATACCATGCAGAGAAAGATCAAGGCCAGGGTAATGTTGCCAGAGAGGGTAGTGCCTGTCCTCCACATAGCCTTAGAAACAGGCCTTGTCCTAGATTTGCCCTTAACCTTGGTTACCACAGCAAGTTCGAAGTCAGCCTGAGATTTGTCAGAATCTGTCTTTAAAAGAGGGGGCAGGGTGGACAGTAGTGGTGCATGCCTTTAATTTGAGCACCTCGGGAGGCAGAGGCAGATTGGTCTCTGAGTTTGAAGCCAGTCTGGTCTACAAAGTGAGTTCTAGGACAGCCAGGACGAAACTGTCTCAAAAAAAAAAAGGTGTGGGGCCAGGGACAGATACTTTGTGTATTTGTGAGAGCCCTTCTGGAAATAGAAAGGAAACAAAGACACAGACAGATGATAAGATTGGGACACTGTGCTAATCTCTGAAGCAGTGTCCAAGTTGTCCTCTTTACTCCTGTTGTCCCAGCATAATGATGTCCCATGACAGATTAAAAATAAAGCTTTGCATGACATTTCCCAAGGGGAGAACATGGATTCAGCACAAAGGCTGTCCCCTGCCCCCATATATTTTTAACATTTTTTTTTGGTTTTTCCAGACAGGGTTTCTCTGCATTGTTTTGGAGGCTGTCGGTCCAGCCTGGCCTCGAACTCACAGAGATCCGCCTGCCTCTGCCTCCCGAGTGCTGGGATTAAAGGCGTGCGCCACCACTGCCCGGCCTTATTTTTAACATTTAAAAAATTTATTTTTGACATTCTAATGCCAGTTCCCCCTCCCTCCTCTCCTCCCACTGTCCCCCCCCACCTCCCATCTGCTTCTCAGAGAGGGTAAGGCCTGCTGTAGGAAGTCTACTAAGTCTGTCCCATCATCTTGTTGACTGTCCCCATAGTTTTGTTAACAAAGCTTCAGAATTCATGGGAACTGGAGGGTAAGGTGCCACACAAAAACAAGGACCTGAATGCAGATTCCCAGCACCTGGGGACAGCAAAGAGGTCCTGTGATCTCAGCTCTGGGAAGCCTGAGACGGGGGAATCTCTCAGCTTGCTGGCCAGCCAGTTTAGCTGGGTCAGAGAGCTCCAGGTCAGCAAGAGACCTTGTCTCAAAAACAAAGCAAAAGAACAAAGCCAAGTCCCTTCAAATGTCAAATGGTCTCTGGGAGCCCTGGGAGCTTTCCTGAGGTTGGCTCTCTTGTTGCCCATGTCTGAGTCATGTCTCCTCCCCACTGCCCCCCCCCCAGATCCAGGACCTGCAGCTGGCAGCGCTAGCTAAGCGGGCAGCACGCACGGCGCAGCGGGAGAGTCAGCAGAAGCAGTTCCAGGGAGAGCAGGTGCAACTCCTCTGCATCAACTGCATGGTGGCTATGGGCTACGGGAGTGACCTGCGGAAGGTGGAGGGCACCCACTACGTCAACGTGAACCCCAACTTCTCGTGAGAGCCATGGGAGGGCTGGCAGGAGGAGGGAAGGACTTTTGCAGGATGTAGGAAGCGAAGGAGCATTTTAGCAGGCCGGGCAGTGGTGGCGCACGCCTTTAATCCCAGCACTCGGAAGGCAGAGGCAGGCGGGTCTGTGAGTTTGAGGCCAGCCTGGTCTACAAGCAGGACAGCCTCCAAAGCCACAGAGAGACCCTGTTCAAAAAAAAAGCATTTTAGCAAGCAGGTTTTGTCCACCACACGGTCCCACAAGTGAGGAGCAGAGGTATGGTGTCTGGCTTAAGTGCCTGTAGCCATTATGTGATTGAAAGAGAACTGGGATTTAGGATACAAAGAATTTAGGTACAAAATAACTCCTTGGTCCTACCCACTTTCAGGACACTGAAGACAGGACTGTCAGTTGAGGCGGCCTGTCTATACTACTCAGAAGGCAGAGGCAGGAGAATTACTTGAGTCTAGGAGTTCAGAGTTAGCCCAGACAACAGAAAGGTCTCCATCTCAAAAGAAAAAAGAATTTGGGAATGGTGCACTCTTGTAGTTCCAGTACTGAGAGAGAAGTGTGCAAGGTGTCATCCTTGGCTACGCAGAGTCCCCAGTCAAGGTGGACTCAAGAAGAGAAGGGTCCTGGTCTTTATAGTGATTTTCAGGTTAGTCATGGTTACGTAGCGAGACCCTGTCTCGAAAGATAAATAAATGAAAGAAGAAAAAAAGAAAAAGAAAAGGGTGGGGGGAGGGAAGCTGGGATTATAGCTCTGTAGAATGCTAACCCAAAGTGCACATATTCCTGTGGGTTCGATGGGTGTGGTAGTACACACCTGTGACCCAGCACTCTGGAGATGGAGTAGGATCAGCAGGTCAAGGTAACCCTCAGCTACATGGCGAGTTGGAGGCCATCTTGGACTACATAAGACCTTGTCTCAAAATCCAGATGATCTGAGCTTGAGTACCAGATCCCACGGTACAGGGAGAGACTCCCAAAAGTTACCTTCTGGATCTCCGCAGGGGCTTGGTGGCACACAAACCGCTTCCTGATCCATTCTACACATACTAGAATCACACAGCTCTGGCTCTCGCTCTCGTGAGCCATCCCCCCCATCCTACCTTACTTCTGCTTACAACATTCATTAAGTGACTGTTTATTAGACTCCTCCCATGTGTCAGGCCATGGCACCAAGGTTCTTCATACGGGTTCCATTTGAGGGAGAATTTTGAAGAGTGGCAGGGTTTGAACACGGGAAGATAAGTCTAGGCAGAGGTGAGAGAGCGCAGTTACCCTTAGGGGAAGGACAGGGAGTGACAGGATTCTGGATGAAGACAGACCAGGTCATGGAGCTTCTCAAAGGCTGGGCCTGAAAGTTAAACCTGTATCCAGGAAGCAGTGAGGAGCCACGAGTGCATTCTGAGTCAGGGAACATCAGGAGGAATGAATGTTTCTAGGACACTCTATCAGGCTTGGAGTTTGGAAATAAGGATGAAGAAGGAGATCCATGAGGAAACTTGAAATCACTCATGTGGGAGTCAAAAAGTTCCCAAGCTTGGGTGTGGGAATATGTTGCAGACAGGGCAGGGAGACCCTCTGAGGTCTCTTGGTTCTGGGACATTCTGTATCTTGACAGGCAGAAAAGCCTGATGCCATGGCAGGGGCTCAGCCAGCTACAGGGCATGTAGTCTAGGGGACAGGACTCCAGAGGGCTCTGTCTGCTTCATCCCCTCTAGGGTCTATTATACTGTCTCCCAGAAGCCTGTGGTCATTAACAAGGTCTTCAAGGACTGGAGGCCTGGGGGAACCATTAGCTGCAGTAACTGTGGAGAGGTAAGTGAGGACCTGTAGCCCAGGTCAAAGAGCCCTCACCCCAGACTCCAGAGACCCTCCTTCTCTGGGAGACCCTCACCCAGAGTGTCAAGTAGCCCTCTGTGGGAGACCCTCAGTCTGTGCTCTAGTCCTAGGGAGCTGACTGCATGATGGCCTCAGGTGGTAGACACAGGCCTGGTCATCACAGAAGTCCAGCTCAAGGACAGAAACTCAGATGTTGCCATTTGTTCCACCGACAGGTCTGGGGCTTGCAGATGATCTACAAATCGGTGACCTTGCCGGTGCTCAAAATCCGAAGCATGCTCCTGGAGACCCCTCACGGGAGAATCCAGTCCAAAAAGTGGTCCCGGGTGCCCTTCTCGGTACCTGACTTTGACATCCTGCAGGACTGCGCCCAGAGTCTGTCTGATCTCTCTCTAGACTGACCCCTTGTGTCTGTAGTACCTAGCTCAGGCTGCAGGGGGCAGGATAGTCCAGCAAGCCATTCTTATCCCTCTGGGTGGTACTCTAGTCACGGGAAGTGGGCTACCCATTATTCTGTCCCAGATACTCTTTATATACATTGGATGGAGTTGGAAAACTGATGCAGGAGAATTGACAAGCTGTGCTCTGCACTAGGCATCACAGTGTCCTTCCCTTGCCCAGGCAACTTCTGGGTTTTTCATTTTTTCTTTTTGAGGCCCTTCAAAATTAAAAATGTTAAAATGAGATAGAAAATGGTTAGTCATTTTTATTTTTGAAGTATAATAAACCTCATGTTAATAATGTGTAATTCAATACATTTTCACCACACGTGCCTCCTCTAATCAAGATATAAGCACACCTTCACAATTGACTTTGTTCCCATTGTCAGCCCTGTTTTCTACCCCTCTCCCTACGCTTACCCACTTGGTGGTCATTTTTAATGTTAAAATACTCCCCTCAGGACTGGACATGATGTTCAGTTGTTAGAGTGCCTACCATGCACAGAGCCCAGGACTTGATCCCTAGAACGGAATAGGCCAGCATGGGGAGTGCCTGCCGTGAATCTTGGCACTGGAGAGGTAGGAGAGGATGGTCTGGTGAGATGGCTCACTGGGTACAGCATTGCCTCCAATCCTTATTGAGTTCCGTCCCCGTGGGAGGAGAGAACCGTTCCTGCCAACTTGTACACTCATGAGCACACACAACAAATAAATAACTGTACAGTAAGGGCAAGGGATACATAGTGAGTTCGAGGCCAGCATGGGCTGCATGAGATCCAGTCTAAAAAATAAAAAGTCTTCGGTGTCTAAACCTCATGTAGGTTATCAGCAGGATAAATCTGAGGTGTCAAAGACCGGATTCGCAGGCAGAGAACATGCCTAGCACAAAAGAGGCCCCGGGTTCCATTCCCAGATTTACCAAGCCTAAATCTGAGGCCCTTCAAGAATGTAAGGCCAGCCGGGCTGGTGGCACATACCTTTAATCCCAGCACTCGGATCTCTGTGAGTCTGAGGCCAGCCTGGTCTACAAGAGCGAGTTCCAGGACAGCCTCCAAAGCTACAGAGAAACCCTGTCTCCAAAAAGAAAAGAAAAAAAAGAATGTAAGGCCATTGTGTCCCCTCTCTGCCGTGACAGCTTCTAACCCCCCTGTACCCTCTTATCTCCCCTTCTTACCTGGGTGAAGAGAGCCTGATGATTTGAGGGCTGGGATGAGGTAGGCATGGAACACACAGAATTGCAAAGGCCTAAATTTTTTGTTCTCATTTTAAGAGAGTCAGGATCTAGGTTGATTCTTCAGGGAAAGGGCTATTTCTGTAGTGAGAGACCCAGCAGGCAGGAGTCACCTTCAAGGGGGGAGGAAAGGGCTAGGGTAGAGATGTGACAGGAGGGTGACAGTTCTTCCTGCTATCCAACCTTCATCTCTCCTGCTTCATTCTTTCTGTGACTCAGAGTGGATGGAAAATAGTTCGTTCTCTCTTCTCCCAGTCTTTTCTGGCCGAGGGCTAAAATTTCTCTTCCACTCTTTTGGGCACCCATCTTACTCTGAGGAAACCTCTCTCAGAGCCCTTGGTCCCCTCCAGGCGTCCTTGGCCCCTTTGGGAGTCGATCTCCTTCCTCGTGGGTGCCTTCTGCGTGAGCGCTCCACACCGTGCCCTGAGTTAGCGCCCCTTTCCCCAGCCCAGGAACGTGCCTTTTACAGGTCAATAAAATTAGCGACTGGGGGGGAGGGGCAGAAAGTGCTAAGCTCAGTGGCCTTGAATGTGGCTGGACTCACGGAATCTGGACGCCTGTCATTCCAGCGCTAAACAGTGACAGCTGAGGGAACTGCGAGGGTGTTTGGGGTGGGCGCAGACCGTGTTGCAAGGAGAGAGGAAAAGATGGGCACCTAACATGCCTCCGCAGGCCTGGGCTGGGAACTGACCTTTACGGGAGGGGGTCTAGCCCCATCTACCTTCAATTTCGTGAGAGCGTCAGACTGGGGGGAGGGAGGCTGAGGCAAGTCTGTTCTTGCTGCTGCTTTGGGTTGGGGTCTTCTGATGGAGCCGGGTTTGTGAGCATCTGGACCAGGCTTTCTGAAAGAGGGAATTTGATAGGGTCAGAAGGACCCAAGTGTTCTAGCCCTCAGTGTAGTGGTTCATTGCCTGCAGCCCTGGCCCTTGGGAGGCTGAGGAAGAACTGGTGTTAGTTGACTAGTTCAAGGCCAGCCTGGCCTGAGTGCAACCTTTCCTTAAGAAAAAGAAAAAGAAGAGGAGAAAGACGAGGAATAAGAAGGAAGGAAAGAGAAAAGGAAAGGGGGTAGGGAGGAAACAGAGCTTAGGCAAGCATGAATAGTGGCATGCACACACACACACACACACACACACACACACACACACACACACACACACACACAACCCTAGCATTTGGAGGGAGGAGGCTGGAGGACCAAGAACTCAAGGTAGCCTGCACTATGTAAGAGCCTGTTTTAAAGGGGGGTAGGGGAGAAGAAAAGAAACCAGAACTCCCAGTGGTCCTGTTCTTGGCCCTACTTGCCAACCTCAAAGTGCCTACAGACTCCTCACTGCCAGAACTGGGGTGGGACAGAAGACCCCGCCCCTCCTGCCTCGGCCCCGCCCCCGGCCAGCCAAGTCCCGGCCGGTGAGCCCAGAGCCTCTGCGAAGCAAACCAGGCGAGAGCAGGTGGCCACTGCCGGCTCAGTCTCTTCCCTGCAGGTAAGACAAGCAATGCTGGCAGGTCCACACTGAGGACCTTGAGGGCAGCTCGGGAGGGTGAGGCAACTCCTTGTCCTGTCCCCTGCCCGCGTCCTAGGGGACCCCCCAGAGACATTCTCTGTCTGCGCTCGGTGAGCATGTGACTAAACTACCAGGAAATTGGAAGGACCCACTGGCTGTGGTGATGCTGCCTGGGTCCGAGGGCTGGGGAACGCAGCATCGGGCAGTAGGTGTGTGGCGGGGGTGCTTCGTCACCCCAAGTGCCCTGTATGAGACCCAGGGTAGTATCTTTCACAGCGGTTTGGAGTGATGGGATGAACTGAAAGGTTTCTGTTCTGGGGGCAAGTGAGATGACAGCTGCTGCCTGCTTGAGCGGAACCTGGGTTTTCTGGTGACCCCGGGTGCATCATTTGCACCTGGGTACAGATGCAGGATGGAGGTGTGTGTGAGGAAGTACCTGCCCAAGCTCAGCAGGTCCACTCTGTGTCATGTCCTGGGTCAGGCTACGGAGATGAAGGCAGGCATGGGATGTCCATGCCCCCTCATGTGGGATTTGACTTTAGGGGGCACTCTGTCTCCCTGGGTTTCAGGGAAGGTTTTCTGGAAGAGGCAGTCTGAGCTATCTCAGCTGTGATGCTGGGCTCTCTAACCCATAAAGGAGAGGCAACTTGGGACCTCGCGGTTCACTTAAGTAAAGCAAAGAGCCCTGGGGTGTGGACCCGAGGGAGTTAAGGGTGCTGCTACCTGGTCTCAGCCAAGACTCCAGGAACCTTCCAGAGACCATCACAAGCCTTCAGATACACTGAAGTGATGACTAGGGGGGAGGATTTTTCATGACCATCTAGATTTCTTCATTCCATGGTCTCCTCCCCATACACCATCGTCAGTAAACTTTTCCTCAATTCTTGTGTTTGTGTGTGCACGTGTGCCACATACGTTGGCATGTGTGTGGAGGTTAGAGGACAACTTTCTGGAGTTTTTTTGTTTGTTTTTGTTTTTTGAGACAGGATTTCTCTGTGTAGCTTTGGAGGTTGTCCTGGAACTCGCTCTGTAGACCAGGCTGGCCTCGAACTCACAGAGATCCGCCTGCCTCTGCCTCCCGAGTGCTGGAATTAAAGGCGTGCGCCACCAACGCCCAGCCTTTCTGGAGTTCTTGCTTGCTTCCCACCATGTATGTAGGTGCTGGAGAATTGAACTCAGATCATTGGGATTGGCAGCAAGTGCCCATACCTGCTAAGCCATCTCATGAGCCCTTCTTGCTCATTTCTGACTATCATTTCTCATTTCTGACCATCATTTCTGCTTCTGGGATAGCTAGCTTCTTGCTTCTGGGAGGCAGGGGGTTAGTTATAGGAAAGAGGACCTTCTGGGTGGGTTAGCACTGAGTCCGATCACCTCTACCTCTGAACTTGAAAGTGGGGATAAGGATAGAGCCTGCCTCATAGGGTGGTTGCAGGGATTTAATGAGAATACACATGAAGAGCCTTTAGCACAGTCCTGGCGCCTGGTGAAGGCTCAACAGGTCTAAGTGTCCCCTCCTGGGTAGGACAGCAAAGCCGATCTGCAGGGGGTGGAGGTGGGGTGGAAAATTTTTAAAGCTTGTCCAGAAAGAGAGATGCCCTGCACTCCTCCCCGACCAGCCCCTGCCCCCTGCTGGTTCCCATCTCTGTCCAGAACCCCTTACCTCCTTCTGGCTCTGCCACCGTGTTTGGACTGCCTTTTATCCACAGGGTGAGGCAGGATCAAGGGAGCTGTAGGGGCTGCTTGGGGCTGTGCCTAGATGGAAGAAGCCCTGGTTTGGAGACTCAACTTGACAAAAGTTCCCTTTTGGCGTCACCTCCCATCCCCGCCTCCAGAAATCCACTAGTTGAGATCAAACTGGGCTGGGTTTTTCCAGGAAGACAAATAATCCTGCCTGGGGATTGCCGGAGCTGCCCTCCAGTGGAGGAGTGAGAGCTTTAAGTCCTGGCTGTAGCTCTGGTGGCCCCCAAAGAAGAGCAATCCCTGAGCACCCTGAAATTCTGGGCAAGAGAGGCAATCCACATGCTCCAGTCCGGGTGCTTCCAAGTGCTCTGTTCTGGCTGCATCAGGACCAGTCTCAGGACCCAGAGACCAGTTGGGAAAGTGCTTGCCTAGCACATTAGTTGACAGGGCCTGTGGCCAGAAGTAGACTGAGGCCAGGTGTCTGTATGGCTGGCCCTTGTGGTGCAGAGACGACCTGGCCTCAGGACTGTAGCAAGGGCAGGGATGGCTGGAGCCAGGGTGAGGATGAAGCCATCTCTCTGTACAGTGATGTCATCCTGGTGTGAGACTCATCTCACAGGAAGCAGAAAAACCTGAATTTAAGCCTGGTCTCCTAGGGAGCTGTGGTGGTATATCTGTCAGGATAGGGGATGGAAAATAGTTATTGAACATGGGTCTGGGGTGTAGCTCAGTTGGTAGAATGGTAGCCAAGCATGCACAAGGCCCTAGCTTCTGTCCCCAGCACTGCATAAAACCAGGTGTGGGAACATGCCTGTAATCCCAAAACCTGGGAGATAGAACCCTGCATAAAACCAGGTGTGGGGGACATGCCTGTAATCCCAAAACCTGGGAGATAGAACCCTGCATAAAACCAGGTGTGGGGGACATGCCTGTAATCCCAAAACCTGGGAGATAGAACCCTGCATAAAACCAGGTGTGGGGAACATGCCTGTAATCCCAAAACCTGGGAGATAGAACCCTGCATAAAACCAGGTGTGGGGGACATGCCTGTAATCCCAAAACCTGGGAGATAGAACCCTGCATAAAACCAGGTGTGGGGGAACATGCCTGTAATCCCAAAACCTGGGAGATAGAACCCTGCATAAAACCAGGTGTGGGGGAACATGCCTGTAATCCCAAAACCTGGGAGATAGAACCCTGCATAAAACCAGGTGTGGGGGAACATGCCTGTAATCCCAAAACCTGGGAGATAGAACCCTGCATAAAACCAGGTGTGGGGACCTGCCTGTAATCCCAAAACGTGGGAGATAGAATCAGGGGGATCAGAAATTTATCTGATTCAGATAAACAAGGGGGTGGGGTTAGAGTTTGAGGCTAGCCTGGTATACATGCAACTTTATCTAAAAAATATGGGACATTTTGCCAGGTCTTGGTGGCGTATGCCTTTAATCCCAGCACTTGGGAGGCAGAGGCAGGCGGATCTCTGTGAGTTCAAGGTCAGCCTGATCTACAGATCGAGTTCCAGGTCAGCCTCCAAAACAATACAGAGAAACCCTGTCTCGAAAAAGCAATATATATACATATATATATGTATGCATATATATATATGACAATATATACATATATATATGACATTTCATTCACAAGACCTGTAACTTTAAAATATATATTATTGTTGTTGTTTTGCAGTACTGGGGATCAAGCCCAGGGTTTTGTTTGTGCTAGGCAAGTGCTCTACCGTGGAGTCATATCCCAGCCTTTTTCGTTTTGTTTTGTTTTGTTTTAATTTGGGGATAGGGTCTGACAAAGTTATTCAGGCTAGTCTTAAACTTGAGGCAACCCCCCTGCCTCAGCTTCTCAGGTAACTGGGATTACAGACCTGTGCCACCATACAATTAGAACTTTAAGATATTTAGACCTGTGTGGACCACCAGTGGTCTTCTTGCTCCATGGCCTGCAAAGGTGACAGGGGACCTGGCTGAATCTGTGGCCCCACGAGCCATTTGGTTAACTCCATCCCTAAGCCTCTCCTCTAGCAGAGGGACCATAAAGCTGGGCTTGGGCCACACATGTGTAGACAAGGAGGGAGTTTCAAGGTGAAATGAAAATTGTCAGTTGTCACCAATAAGCAATCCCCCCTTGGGTTTCCTGACCTCATTCTCTAACTAAAAATTGGGACAATTTTTTTAAAATGTCCTATGATTCTTGAGTGGGAAGGTATGGGGACGAGAGCTTGCTTTTCTTCCCAGCGTGGCAAGAATGTGGCGCTTTCTGCTCCCAAGGAGCAAGGACAGAAATAAGCTTGTATGCAGCAACAAGAGGGAAGGAAACTAGATCAGAGGAAGGCAAGGATGGATCTCCATGCCTCCTGTGCCCCTCACTCCATCCCGCTCTGCCTGCTCACACCCACAGCCAGGGAAGAGCGGCTTCTTCAGGAGTCTGTAGCTGGGAGCATCCCTGATGGAAATACATGGCATGCTGGTCTAGGCTGCTGTGGAGTGGCCTGTGACACCTAGACATACTGTCTGTTTAGAAAGCAAAGGCATGCCACCTCTTTAGAGACCAGTTCCGCTCAGTCATGATTCTCACTGGACTGTTTGGGGACCAACCTGCCACTCTGGCCTCCTTAATGCTGCAAGGTATTTTTAAAGAAATAGACACACTACCTATACATGTGCTCACTCACCCAGCATGCTACCCGGCTCACAAACCATCCCTTGCATACCGACCCTGATGCCCTACAGTGTGCACCCTACGGCCTTCCCACACTCACAGCCTCCCTTCCCTCTTCAGCACCTTTTCATTCGCCTTGGGTGATCACCAAGTGGCCAATGGTTGACTTACTTGGTGGCTGGAGTTCAGGTACTTGCAGTGCCTCAGTGTTGGAGACAGGAGGCAGTAGCGCCACCTTCCTGGGACTCCCTCAAGCCTGGAGGGACTTGGTGTTCAGCATCTCGTCTCCAGAAGTGACTAGGGGACCTGAATCTCTAGATCTGCCTGTCTGTGTGGTTTTGGGGGCCTCCTTCTGCTTCAGTCTAAGAATACGTTTGTCCTCTCCGTGCTGTGTGCTCCATCCCTGTCTCCCCTGTCTCCCCTGTATCCCCATCACTGTTCTGTCTTCTCTCCTCTCCCACCTCTCTGTCTCTGTCTCTGTCTCTGTCTCTCTCTCTCACACACACACACACACACACACACACACACACACTTCTCTCTGGTTACATGGCTCTGTACTTCTGTCTCTGTGTCTGTATTGTTTTATTTTGATGACAAGATCTTAATCTATAGCTCAGGTTGGCTTGGAACTCACCGTGTAGGCCAGGTTGGCTTCCAACTCACAGCAATCCTCTTTCTTTAGCCTCCTTAGTGCTGGGGTTGCAGATATGAGCCAACCCACCCACCCCCCAGTTGCATGTCTCTACCTCTCAGCCTAGGTGTGTTGGTTTGTATCTCTGGGACTCATTGTCTTGAGGAAGCGCAGGGAAACAGTATGGATGAGTGTCTCTGGGTCACAGAAAGTAGCAAAGCATCTTGGGGGCACTACTGTCACCTCTGGACTCCTCCTCCAAGCAAATGAGGATTATCAAGACCTGCAGACAAAAAAGGTCAGTGTTGGTTCCTCTGTCCCTGCCCCTGTTGAGAGCTCTGGCTTTAGAAATGGAATATTTTGTTGTTGTTGTTTCGATACAGGATTTCTCTGTGGCTTTGGAGACTGTCCCAGAACTAGCTCTTATAGATCAGGCTGGTCTTGAATTCACAGAGATCCGCCTGCCTCTGCCTCCCAAGAGCTGTGATTAAAGGCATGCACCACCAATGCCCGGCTTGGAATTTTCTTCAATGACAAGGCACAGAGTCATAGGCCTGGAAGCAGAACTAGGGGTTCAGAGTGATGGAGGGGCAGCCCCTTGTCTGTCTTGTTGAGTAGTTTGACCTTAAGTGGAAGGTAAGGACTTGGAACCTCCCTCAGAAGAAGTGTGGACAAAAGCAGGCCTGAATCAACACCTTTCTTTTTACCTTGAAGCAGCCAAGTTCAACCCATGTTTCCCAGTTTCCTGCTCCAAACCGCCGGTGTGCCCCCACCCTGTTCCAGCCTTCCGCCACTGTGGCTGCGGGGCCTCTTTAAACAGTCTCTGGCCTCTCCTCTCCCTGCTGCTGGCTACACCATGGCCACAGCTCCTGCACAGGCCTTGCTGTGTTGGCTGCTTGTTTATTTGCCTAAGGTTTCCTTGGGTGTGGTGAGAGCCAGATCCACAGACCCTCCCGAACCCAAGATGCCCATGGAGAGGCCTGGCCACATGTCAGCTGCCCTACCTCCCTCATTGGCCTCCAGGGCCTAGCTCCTCTACTCCCCACCCTCCTGGCCTCACTTTGCCGATTCCTACATGATGTGAGCCCTGTCCTGCTTTGAGAATTCTAGAAGGGGGCTATTAGGAGGAGCGTTAGAAACCAGAACTTCTGCGTTCTCTAGGGGTCCCAGAGAATCATAGGGTGTGGGGCATGAACTTTAGAACTCCTCGGCTGAGCTTGAGCTAGCCACTCAGTGACACTTGAGAGAGGAAGGATTCTGTCCTGGGCTTGGGACAGTTGTGTCATCGCTGTGACAAAATCCCTGACAAAGGCAGCTTTGGGAAGGGAGTTCGTTTTGGCCCACAGTAGGAAGGTCCAGCCCCTCAGGCCAAGTGAGGCAGGAATAGGAGGCAGCTTAGACACTTGCATCCGAAGCCAGGTAGCAAAAAGATGAATTCAGGTGCTCAGTTCCTCTTTATTTTATTGGGGACCCCAGCCCAATGAATGGTACTGCCCACACGTACCATTAACCCGGATAATCACCATGTTTCCATGGTGAGTCTAAATCCCATCAAACTGATAAGAGGGCCCATCCCATGGTCCCTCCTAGGATCTCTGCAGGAGGAATATCCCTGGAACCTCAGGGTCTTCCAAGCTCTTGATTTTGCACAGTCAGTCCAGAAGTGTCTGGCTCTGCCCTGTGAAGTAAAAGTCCCTTGTGCAAGTGATAGGCAGGTGCAGAGGTCAAGGCTACCTGTCAGTCTTCATCCGAGTGCAACCTTGAACCCAGGTCTCCTTGGACAAAGAGACTCACAGGGTGCAGTAGCTTCTGGTTTTCCTTTTGTTGTTGTTTTGTT